AACGAGCGAAATTATCGTTAACGGTAAAACTAGCAACAGAAATATTCGCCGCGGTGGAGCCTGGATCTAAAATTAATTCTCATTATCCCACACGGAGCCGTGTAATCGTCGAGAAAATTCACCGCCCCATAAAACGCGGGAACATTTATATTCTCCGCGAAGCCTTCGAAGCGATGCGCTTGCGTCATCAAGCATGGAAGAGAAAAAAAAGAGGAAAAACACTAATATAAACAGTTACTTTCCACGTCTTGGATTCGGCAAGTGCATGCGTGAGCGTAATTCTAACGATTCCTCGCTATTTTATCTAATGTAATTTCTGTTCCATTTCTTTATTCTGAATTTTTCTTCTGAAGAGGCTTAACACATAAAAGACGCGCAGAACCCTTTGAGAAAATTTATTCAGACGGGAAGGTAATTTAAGTTAATTCAAAGAAAAAGAAAAAAGTCGAGGATCTGTTTTACATTTACATGATATTTTTATATAATAAGATATTTTTATTCTTTATATTTAATGAATATTTTTTTTAATTCTTAATATATATATATGTATAGTTGAAAAATTTGTGTTAATTTAACATAAGATGAATATATTAGGAAATAATATATTATTTAAGAAATTAACATAAAAATATAACACTGACAATTTGTAAGCAAATTGTGAGTGAAAGAGCATCTTTCTTTAGTAAAGTTAATATGAATTTATGATATGTTAAATTGTCATTTCATTAATTTATATTAGAATTGATATTAGGACATTAATTTATATTAGATGTTTTACACATCAATTCTATTTCTATGTTAATTGTTCAGTTATTCAAATTGTATAATTTTAACGCTAATAAATGTTGAATATCAATTTACCACAAGATATTCGAATAATAACAACTTGAATATTCCATTTTTTAATGTGTAATCGCTTTAGAAAGAGATCAATACAAACAATTTTAACGTAAATATAAAATATTATTTTTCCTGCGGTATATCGATTGATCTGTAATATACTTTCACCCGCTTATACTTTCTTGTGCTAAGCAATGGCCGCCGCTTTACATCGATAAATATTAATTCTAATGATATTTTATTCATATCGATAGACATCAGCCCATAAAAGAAAACGCGCGCTTGTCGGTTTCGCAGTAAATACGAACGCGACGTGCAGCGTAGGTGATTGGCGACAGCCTATTATGTCACAACTTCTCGTTGTGGTGGCAAGGTAGATAGAGTCGGGCCGTGAACCCAAGAACAGCCGGCGGCACGTTATACAGGCGTGACCGGTTCTTTTCTCGCAGATTTTCCCTGGCATCACTCGTCGCCTTCTCGCCAACTTTGCAGCCGGGAATAAATGCGCTCTCACACACACACACACACACACACACACACACACACACACACACACACACACAAAAAAAAAAACATTTAAAAAAGAATTGATATTTTTGGGATTACTCTGTTAAATTCATAATGTCAAATTAGTTATTTTTAATCATTTCTATAAATCGTCGTTAATTTAATTAAAACATTAATATACGAAGTTGAACAATTTAACTTAAAAAGTGAATTAAATTTAACTCAAGTTTAGTTTATTATTTACTAAAGGCGTACATTAATATGAAAGTGTTAAAATTGACCTCAGAAATGGATTGATTTATATTTTGACAGAAATGGAAATTGAAAATAAAATAAAACGTTATTTAACTCAAGGGATTTTGCTCCTTTATTATATCTAAGAACGGAGTTAGATAAAACGTTTATTAGACATTTTAGAAAAGCCTTTTAAGAATCTAGAATGAAAAGTACAGGCAACAAAAAAACAAAAAGTATAGACTTTAAACTATCGAAAACCACTTCGACACATCTACACTGTGTATATCCAATGTTCGATACGTTAAAATCTGTTCATTTTTTAGTAATGAGTAGGACTAATCAATCCTTATATGTCTGAACTTAGTCAAAGAGACTTAGAGCTAAAGAGTCATCTAGATCTAAAGAGTTTCTACGCGACTTCCGCTAAGTTAGAAACGGATTATGAAATTTTTCGTACCTATATAGAGGATAATTCCTCGCTATGTTGATTACGAATCCGTCACTCATAAATGGAGCCACACGACATTCCTATTTCTGTTGTCTTACTTTTCATTACTTTTTTTTTATGTTTAGATCGTTAGAGGACTTGTCTCTCTCTCTCTCTCTCTCTCTCTCTCTCTCTCTCTCTCTCTCTCTCTCTCTCTCTCT